CATAAGAATTTCTTGCAAAACAATCCTGTATTTTGACTATTACAATAAATTTCAAAGTGTGATTAAAGTAACAATAGAATGAACAAATGTTTTATTTGCATGTTCATGGTTGTAAACAGCATCTGGCATGGAAAGTTTACCAAAACCTTTGACTGATATAAATTAGATAGCATTTTCAAAAAGAAAAAGAAACCCCTCTATCGTATTGTTTGTAATTGCTCTTACGTAGCAAATTAAAACTCATATATGCTTTGCAATGAAATCATATGTACTGCATCAATCTGTACCACATGTTGAACTACTGCAAACTATACTGGGAGGTGTTAAATGAAGGCCATTCATTTAAAAAAAGCTACATATAAAAACTATGAATCAACTCCAAAAGTATGATTTGCAATGATGCTAGAAAAAGCAAACTCTAAAGAATCCCAGTCCAAAAATGTACAAAAATAAGTAGCTAACCAAACAAAAAGCCCTGGAACTCATTAACAAGAAAACATTACAAATCTAAGTACCCAACGTTGCCCCCCCCCCAAAACAAAAGGGATACAAATTTAAATAGCCAGCTATACTCTTAAATGTACACAGTGAATATTGATATGTGAAAAGAAATACCATAGTAAGCAGTTGAAATGTATTTCTGCTAACTCAGGAGAGCAAAATAGTATTTACACACTGAACAGAATAGTGACATTGCCATTATTCATAATCTAACAAAAAAAATCAGTTACAACACTTCTGCAAAATAAACACCACCTGCTGGCAATGGTAACTTTTACTAAAAATACTTTTTCTCCACGTGTCTTGCTTCATGGAAGATGAATCCAATGAGATTTTAAGTTAAACCTGTAAGCTTTAAGGGATGAGTTTTGCCAATTTTATCACATTTTTAGTCCATTTCCACAACTTTGCTTTTATAAAAACCACTGTCACATTTACTTCAGAAATCTATGAGGTAATGTGTGTATCAGTGAAAAAAAACAAAAATCATTCATGGCCTTTGCACAGCTTTTATTAAGCTATGAATATCCTATCTGTGGCTAGTTGACTAGCTACTGCTATGTGCACATTTATCTCCAATTTTTGCCAATTGCCCTCCCCTCCATGCTTTTCTGTTTTTTTATTTGCACATCCCTTTTCTCTTTACAGTACATTTGACTACAGTGCACAACATGATTCCAAGTCAAACGGGGACTTGACTGGGCACTGAACTGGACTGGCCTGTCCTTTACCAATCAGCGCTGATGCCTTTTCTTTATACCTAATGTCTTACCTTAATGGCACTACACAGTAGTTGTGTACCTTTTTCACACTTAAGAAAAATTTCCCAGAGAAAATGCTGAAATAAATATCAGTCTTGAGTCAAATCTTTATTTGGCGCTCCATCAAGATATATTTTTAGTGCTTTTTCTTTACGAGGGGAGTAGGTCACACGATGTCCAGTTTTCTGAAGTCTACTGCTTTCTTTTTTCATGAGTTCATTTCTCTGTTCTTCAGTTAGTTCCACCATTTCTTCGGTTTTATCCCTGACATTAAAAAAAAAAAAGGATTTAAATTCTACAACAAACACAGATTTACACATTTTTAACCAGGCAGTAAGTATCAATACATTTGATGTCCTAACAGACAAAACACCTTCTGGACAAGATGAAATCACCTGTATTCACATAATTCACAACTTTTAATGCCAACTCAACGCTGAGAATGTACTTCAGAGCAGCCAGTTCAAAGAAGATGAGAAATTGGAAAAGATCCAAAAGGAGCAGGTTAGCAAGCTAATAACGGACCATTTTCTAAACTACATTATTCCTGTCAATAATGTAAAGTGGTTGATCCCCAAATGCTATATAATCTGCACATATTTGTGAAAATACAGGCAGCTTTTAAAATTATTTCAGTACAGCAGGCTTATAACCTGGAGGTTTTCTAGGATTCACAGCTCCTGCTTGAACAGCGTATGGAGGCCATGGCTAGTAGGGCCTTCGTATAATTATATCTAAAGTACTATTCCTGCATTGCGGTTGGCCTGTTGCAATGTATTATTCAGTAGGACTCTGCTGAATACTATTTGGAAGCTTCAGCTAGTACAGCATATGGTTACCTAGGATAATTAATGGCCACCCTAGATTTGCCCATGTGACACCAGTACAACAGGAGCCACCTTGGCTGACAATCTGCTTCTGGGTGAATTAAGAGATGCTGGTCATCACCTTGAAAACCCTCCAAGGGTCAGACCCTGGATACCTTTGAGATCATCTGCACTGAGCTGAGTCTTCCTGTCCAGTAAAAGCTATGAGAGGCTTGTTAAAAATCCCTTCTGTGAAGAGTATAGCATTTACCAGGACCTTGCAGTCAGGCACATACATCTCTTGCATACTGATTACATTTATATTAAACATTATTTCTGTATTACTTAGCTTTAAATCTAGTGACAGGCATAAAACCTAAATCATTTTAGATTGTGCTAGCCTACAGCTACAAGTATCTTGAAAACATTAAGAGTAAAATGTTTTATTCTTAAAATTTTCACTCCTAAAGAGTAAAACGTTTATACTCTGCTTATCTAAGTAAGCAGCTGAAATGCAAAATTCTGATAATAGAGAATCAAGCTAATGCAGTCAGAAAATGCACAATATACGGTTTCTTCCTGAGCCATTTTCTCATCCCTGATTTATTTAAACTACTTTTCTACAATTAGTTTTTTCATATTGGAAATTTATGCGGGGTTTTTCAATATATAGGAGGTAATGACCTAAAAGGATATACCTATAAAATATCACTGCTCCATCATCACAGATGTAGAGAGGCCATACATTCAGTGTGGAGACCTTCGGATTCCAGTCCAAATCTTGATGTATCTCTAGAATGGAGATCTCACAGGGAAATGTCCCTCTGCCCTAGAAAGGAAAACAGCATCTTAGTAAAATACCTATTTATTTGATTTATATGGTCACCTGTCTCACTAATGGCAATTCTTGGTGGCATACAATAATCATACCTATATATGTTATGGCCCAACACAATTATATATACTCAAAATGTGTGATATGATCATAATCAACACTGTTTTTCATTTATGTCTCTATTTCCAAATCAATCATTTCTCAAACACATGATTTGACTGCATTTTTCAGTTAGGTGTAATAAATCCATTCCTCAATCTCCCTCAGTCCTCCTAGGAAAAGCCAATTTGTAACTTGCTCCATTCAGTCAGACTTTTGTATTGTAAAAGAATGCAGTCTTGAACTTCAAAGAGATGTATGTGATCAGCGAGATCTTGATTACATTTACCAAAGCTATATGACATTAAAAATTAAATCAAATGGACTAGCCAATTGATGGGTGTTTTACCCACTCATATATTAAAGAGACAAGCACTTTCAGTCTACTTGGAAGAGAGAAAATTGATAGGGGACAATGTCTTTTCCTCTTCCCCTGCCCAATTTCACCAATATCCCCCTTCAGAGGATTCAGGTATTATAGCAGAAAAAGGGGGATATCCATTATTATTTGATCAGCATTTTCTGAACAAATCTCAGCTGAGAGGAAATCTGAACCACTTTCAGCAGCTTGAAGAAATAAATAACTCACCTTTGCAAATTCAATATTTTCTGAGGGGACTCCACTTATTGCGTTAAGCTGTAAAAAACATATATCAAAATGAGTTTATTTTCAAAAGGTAAGGTATATAAGTTTCATATATTCTTGCTGGTTGTTTCCCAGTTTACGTTCTGTGTTATGTGCAAAAATTGGCATCTCAACTGATAATAGATTCCTAGATTTTTATTATTTTTATATAATCTAAAAATCGCTTTTAGTTCACTAGTAACAAAGGCTAGATGTCATCTTTGATAGATGCTTTTTATACATATTTTAATGCTTTTAAAATAACAGAAAAAAGCAAAAGGAACAAAACACACAAAAATATACATTATTCAAACAAAACATAAATGTTTAAAGAATAAGTAATAGATGCTTTAGCAGATTCTGAACTGAGCAGGGCTTGAACTAGATGGCCTTTAAATCCTTCTCACTCTGACTTGCATTTCTATGAGAAATGTCTTAAAAGTAAGCAGAATTCTCCAAAACCCTCCAAAACTAGACAGAGCCATCACAAGAGGACATAGCAATATATCACAATCAATGGGCAACCAAGGTCTGCCTAGTTTTACAGGCAGTATATCAAAAACAAGCTATCTTCAGAAACCGAAACCTACTGACCTGATACTAAAAATACAATAAGTATAAATTGGATAAAACACGTAATAAAATCAATTTTAAAAGATTATTAAAAGGATCTAAAATGATTATGATTCTGGCGAATCCCCAATGCTGCAGCACAGAATCTGGCCACCTGCACCGTGATCTCTGCCTGCTCATCCTTAAGCAGCAGAGATAGATTCTTTCCGAATGACCAGGATATCTATCGATTATGGGGAGGATATGTTTTTTCCGAATGGCTCTGTAGAAGGAACATCGAAGGAGTATGTGTCCAATGGTCTCCACCTCTCCTGAGCCACAGGAGCAGAGTCTTTCAGACAGTGGTGTCTTTTTTTACTTGCCATACAAGACGGCCGATGGAAATGCATGGCACCATGCAAGCGAGAATGCTTTCCGGTGTTTTACTGACTCCAACTGACTAAGATACCTGGCAGGTGTAACCACGTATCTAATAGAGTCTGGAGCCAGAAACAGCGGAGCTATACCTAAGTCCGCTTGCCTCTCGGTGTCCTCTACCCTTTGACGCAAGGTTTGTTTTGCTTGGTCGTAGTCCAATTTGAGAATTGAGGCTGATGAAAAGCCTAGTTTGGCAAGGTTGGACTCGACTGCCTTGATCCACGAAGAGGAAAATTTATCTTGTAGAATTAATGGAGCAAGGCCTTGCGGAAAGCAATTAAGCCTTAGCCAGATGTTTAAGGAAGCTATACAGATTGCTTGCTTCTTGCTTGACTTTTATCAATCCTGTCTCCACAACAATCTGAGATAAGAGTTTTGCTTCTTCTGTTCAAATTTAGCTCTTGCCATCCTACCACCTTTGGTATTATAATCTATATATTACTAAAACTCTGTCTGTTTGTAATCCTCAAGTAGCCCAAACATTTTTTATCTCAAATCCACTGACTTAAAAGAATTTGTGCAAAATCCAGGACCCATTTATTCCCACGTGATTGAAATTTCAAGGATCTTCACACTGATTTTATTCACAAAGTCGTGGTCACTGCAGTGTCATCATGATTAGCTGCAATCACGTGATTGTAATTTCCAATGTTCCCTGCCAGCTTCCCTCAAGCAAAATCAATGGGGAAGCCAACAGGAAGTTGTTCCTGTTCCCATTGCTTTTTTGCCTGCCCAAGGTCAATCTATTGCTCTGTTTAGGTAAGGAAATGTCTCTAAAAGGATGACTCAACAGGTGATGGGTTATGAAGTGTACTTTTAAAGTTGAATATTTAACTTTTACTGCCTAAAGTGTAACAGATATAATTCTTTATAATCAAATTACAATGTGTAGAATATGGAATAAAACATATACTGAAAGCACTTTGGAGCATATTGTTTTCTCATAAACAATAGCAATTGGATCTTTCATTCTTGAACTCATTCATGATAAATCTTTAGCTCCACCTAATACAGATAGAAATGAGACATTATCATATGGCTATCTAAGCAATAGTCCTCAGCTGAATTTCTTCATCTATTTAGGCTACAATTCCCACTTGCACTGCCCACTAGGGCTGCTGTGAATTGCAGTTTAAAACACTGAAAAGAAGTATAAGTGATCATTCTGATGTACTCTAAAAACCTAACTTATATCTTTTTAGGAATAAATTAAGCAGGCATTTTATATGACCAAAGAAAACTAGTTCATACATTCTGTTGGAACATAGTTTAATCATTGTTTATGAATAACCCACATTTTATTTGGTTTATAGTAGAGGCTAACTCAAAATCAAACTGCATTATGGCACAGCACAGCAACTGAGCAGACTTTAAATACCAGAATTCTCAGAGGTTGCTACACTGGTTAGAGAATTATATATATATATAGTTACTCAAAGTTGGGGAAAATTGGCTTTGCATATTGTACAATTCTTGCTACACTATGGCACAGCATAATGTTGGACCTGCCAACAAACCCCAAAATGTTCTTTTAATGATCACTGTGACTCTGGTTTAGAAGCTTTTACAGTTTCACAAAAGAAAGTAACTATGAATTCTGTAAGACAGGGATATGTATATAAATGAGGTTAATTTACCTTTTCTTTTAATTCATCAACACTACTGCTCTCTAAAACTACTTCTTGAAAAGGATCTAGCTTCATCTCTGATGGCCTCCATCTTCTTGACAGAACAGCAAGTTGTGACATCGATTTCATTTTTTCTGCTCCTAAAAGTCATTTAGAATGTAAGAGTGTTCAGTAAAACATTTCAGGAAGAGATATTTAAATGTTTATTTACAGCATTTTCTTTAAGAGGGAAAATTGTCTTGTCAATTGTGATTGTATAAACTAAATACATAGAAAAAAATAAAAATAAACGTTTGCAGAATAAAAATCGACAAGCTCGGTTAGGGCAGTCTTACCAAAAAAATATGTTTTAAATTTTATTTCAGATTTGAATCCCTAATCTTAGTATATTTATTAAATTTATATGTGAAAACAAATAACTGTGATGCTCAGGATCTGGGTATTTCATTCTAAGCATTTTAAACTCAAAATAGCCAATCTGACTTCTTCAAGCTTAGAACCAAACAATTGAAATTCCGGAGTGAATATACAGCATTTTATATCATATTGTTTCAAATATTCCACCACCAACCCTTTTGGCTTAGTGTTTTTTTAAAGAAAACATAAATAGTTAAACTTTTAACAGAAGTTGAAAAGTAAATAAAGATTTACTTTAATTATTTAATAAAACTGCAAGCATAAGCTCCATATCTGCTGCCATGACTAATATAACTAAGGAGGATGAGAGAGAGGGAAAGACTGAGAACAAATATGAATAAGAAAAAAGACTGCTGCCTGTTTTGTTGTTTTGTATAAATTGGGCATTTGTACTGCCACTGAGTTTTCAGGTTACTACATACAAAAACTGTTGCTATCTGTAGTAAATGGGGAGAAACCTCAGCCCCCGAGCTTTGAGATATTAAAGAGTTAAAGGAAAACCAATCGGATCTAACACTCTAGGTAGCAAAAAGAGACTAACCATTAAATAAATAATCAATATCCAACCCTGAGTGAGAAGGTATGCTTTTTAACAAAGGAAGGGGCACCTCCAATTTTATCCGGTTTGCTTTTTTTCTCATGGGAGGGATGAAACAGCTTTTCTTGGGCAAATTCCAAGCCAAGAATTGGGTTTAGAGATCTAGTAAAAATATAACTAACTAGGAGACAATGGACCTAAATGCAGATTAGAAAATCTTAATTGGTGTTTTACGGAAAATAATGCTTAAAATCTAGGTGTTTTCTTCAGATCTTGGATAATGCTGTATTTTTTACTAGATTCATATCTTTAGTTTAAGGCATTCTACATGAAGTCAAGTGCTTTCATAAAGCCTCTCAACTTTACATGCTGAGCTACAATAAAATTTTAGAAACACACTCTGTTGCTTTACTAAATCTAACCCTAACATTTGTCATCAGGCTTTGGATTTATTTTTCACTACATGTATATGGAATTGCACTGTAATTTTTTTTTAAAATTTACTTTTAAGACAACATGGTTAATTTTTATATAATTTAAAAACATTGTAAAGCTTAATTAAAATAATTGATTTCAAAGTATTGATACCTTCAAGTATTTCTAGGAAAACCTCCCAGTTACTTGAAATATTAATATCTTCTTCATAGATATGATAATCCAGAAACACAGTTCCTGGGTTTTTCCAGGTCTTTTTTCTTAGGCGGAATCTATTGAAAAAACAGTAGTTAAAAGTCACAACCACATTTAATTTTGATACAGTGTTTTCCTGAAATAGGTATAAAATATGTTTTTATCAGAAGAACTTAAAAAGCCAGAGCTAAAAGCAACAAATTAAAATTTTCAGTCACGTTCCTTCACTTTATAAGGAAAAAAAAAACCCAAAAGAATTATTGGTTGTTCAAAACTAAAGTTTGGTGCAAAGATTACTTGGTGTGTTACATATTAGAAAGTGTCAATAAATGCCGGCTCATTTCAGTTATGAAATAAAAACATAGCCATATCAATAAAATAAAGCATGATTATAATGATTTATTTGTGGCAACAAACCAAAAGAAAATAAATGTATCTCCTTTTTTAAACATGGTAAAGTCAACAGTTCTTATCTCAGAACCTTTTTCAATTGTCAAAATAAGAATTTTGAGATTCATTTTAATGATGTTTACCTGTCAACAGTCAAATTCAGCCCACATTGCTCCCTGAGCTGAGGAAGTAACTCCTCTTTTGATTGCCGCACAGTCATTCCCTTAGCAAAAACTGAATCTATAAGAAACTTGCAGGGCTGTGAAAACACATTTTAAATGGATAACCTGTTAGAAAGCTTTCATATTTTGAGTATCCCTACTTTCCCTTTACACAAAATATATCAACAAAGATTTTTTGCCTGCAAACAGCAGTGAATTCTGTGGTGTCCATGTGCATTTGAAGGGGAAGGAAGATATCTACAATAGTGTATCAAGACACAAAAAAGAAGTAAGTGTGGATTACTTATTTGACTAGTAAATCTCCTCATTCCAGATCAGTACAACACACAATATAGTAAAAAAACATTCAAAACTGAAGGTATAATATTAAGGAGAAACTTCCTGAAAGTGAGGACAATTAACCAGTGGAACAGCTTGCCTCCAGAAATTGTGGGCGCTCCACCACTGGAGATTTTTAATAAGAGACTAGACAGTCACCTGTCTGGTATAGGTTCTCCTGCTTGAGCAGGGGGCTGGACTAGAAGAAAAAAGTAAGGGTCTACATTTAGGCAAGAAAAATCAAATGCACAGGTTCAGTATAGGTGGCACTTCGCTCAATATTAGTAACTGTGAGAGGGATCTTGGGAGGCCTAGTGGACAATCACTTAAATATGAGCCAGCAGTGCACTGCAGCTGCCAAAAAAGCCAACACAGTTCTAGGCTGCATTAATGGAGGGATAGAATCAAGATCACGTCAAGTGTTAATACCACTTTATAATGACTTGATAAGGCCACACTTGGAATACTGCATCCAGTTTTGGTCACAACGATATAGAAAGATGTTGAGACTCTAGAAAGAGTGCAGAGGAGCAACAAAGATGATCAGGGGACTGGAGGCTAAAATATATAAAGAACGGTTGCTGGACTTGGGTATGTCTAGTTTAATGAAAAGAAGGAGTAGGGGTGCCATGATAGCAGTGTTCCAATATCTCAGGGGCTGCCACAAAGAAGAGGGAGTCAAGCTATTCTCCAAGGGACCTGAAGGCAGGACGAGAAGCAATGGATGGAAACTGATCAAGGAGAGAAGCAACTTAGAACTAAGGAGAAACTTCCTGACAGTTAGAACAATTAACCAATGGAACACCCTGCCTCCAGAAGCGGTGAATGCTCCAACACTGGAAGTTTTTAAGAAGAGACTGGATAGCCATTTGTCTGAAATGGTATAGGGTTTTCTGCCTGAGCAGGGGGTTGGACTAGAAGACCTCCAAGGTCCCTTCTAACTCTGTTATTCTGTTCTATTCTAACTTCCAAGGTCCCTTCCAGCTCTGTTCTGTTCTGTTCTATTCTAGTGTGGCTATTTTTCTAGTTATTACATCATCAAAGGCCTTCTAGAAAAAACCCTTGTTTTTAATTATTTCATTATTCTCTGAAAGGCGCTAAGACTGGGGAAGGCATTCTTTTCTTGTGGTAAACTGTTTCAAAAGAGGAGAGCATCCACCAAGAATGCCTACCTCTGCGTTTTTTGGCATCACATTTCAAGAGAAGCTCCCTATTTAGCCAGATTGAGGAACAGTATATACTTTATATTAGTGCCCTCTAAAATATCCAGGTATTGAGCCACGTAAGACTTCCAGGTAATCAGAAGAGTCTTAAACTGTCCTCAGAAACAGACTGTAACAGGTTGAAGTTTTCAAGTGTCCAAGGACAATCCCATGTACTGCAAATCTCAAAAATACAGGCATGACACGACATAGGCAAGAATATCTATTCAGAGTATCCTGTTCAAAGTGAGGCCACAACTGGTGTCAAAAGGCCCTTCTGGCCACAGACTCTGGTTTGATGCTTTACTGGTTTAGAATTTAGTAATCAAAGAAACTTCTAATTTTAATTATGGTTTGTCTAAGGAGAAGTAAAGGGATTGCTATATAGATAAAAAATACTTGTGCAAAATATTTTATGTGCCAATATTATGTATTAAATCTGATTAATAGTACATCTCACCCTTCCACTCCATCTAAGGATATTCTAAAAAGGCTCAATACTCCTATGCAGCAGACGTCCTTTAACAAAGATTTTGTATAGCTGGTAAATATTAAAAGGGATGACCTGGTATTTAAATCAGATATCAAAAAACCGAATAGTTTGGATTCCTTCTGATTCAAATAATTGCAACTTCCTTTCTTTAAAATACATTTTATTCTGATAACTTAGTTAGAAATAATTATTTATTTTGCAAACATTTTATTCTAGCAACTAGTTTTATGTTGGAATTCATGCAGACACATACATCTTTTTTTAACTTAAAAATGCTTTCCAATTATTGCTTTAATTAACATTCACTCCTATTTTCTCCCACATAATTCTTTAAATATCCTCAGAAGGAAGTGGGGAAAACTTCGGAATATCAGAATATCCTCCTCATACGAGGCTAACAAAAATCAGATGAAAATGGGATGCCCCTTACTTTTTGTACAGTTGTCAGAAGTTTCCTTTGGCAACTAAAACAAGTTTTCTGCTACTTTAAACAATCATGTCCCATCAGAACAATACATATACATATAGGAAAAAAATGTGCATTAAAGTATAAGAGTATATTTCCCAGAGAATCTATTTTATTAACTGCTTCTAAAACTTGCTAGTAATATGATGCCCATATTGGAGCTGTGTAGCTTTTGCTAAATCTTACTTCTCAGCTATTGGCTATATTGGATGCAGAAGGATCACTTTTTAATAGTTACATTGTTCAAGATGTTTTAGGAGTTTCACATCTTACTTACCTCTGGATCATTCACCAAAAGTTGGAATACCTTGACTCTGTATTCCCCTTTCTTCAGTGCTCTTCCAAACCTAATAGTTATCTTTAAATTAAAAAGAAAAAAATAAATAAAAAGCTTGCAAGAGATTACCTGTCTCTTATCCTTAACACAGAATGCTGGCAGTTAAACAATCAGTAAATGTTTGTGTCTAACAATGTGATGCACTTCAAAATTCAATAATCAAATTTGAGCAAACTGGATATCTTTATGGATAAGCATCTCTGAAATTGTCAGCATAAGCATTTGTACACTTCTGCTCCTATAAAAATATTGGATTACTCTTGAATGAAGACAAAAACTTTACAGGAAAAAGAATGAGATGCAGGCAAGGACAAATGTTAACTAAATACATACAATATTGATTACTTTTAACCACCTTTCCACCATCCCTCTACAATTTGACAACTCTCTCCTAAAGTGTTTTCAGTGTCAAGAGAACCATTGGAAGGTGAGTTATAGGGTATGTATGTAGGTGTGGGTGAGAAACCAGTGAGACAGTATTTTTGTTTGACTGGAAATGAAAAAAAAAACCACCTCCAGATTCAAATAGTTGGACAGCACGATTATGGAAGAGAGTTCAAAAAGGTAGTTCAAAATGCAGGGATTAGGAAAGCAGCATCTTTCATTAAAATGGGATATGGGACTTTTTTTTTATTACCCATCCAAATTTCAATGATGCAATTATAACGAAGAACAGTTTAAACTCTGCAATAAGTTTTCCGTAACTGCAGTGCACTGGGAAGATTTAAAAAATATACAGGTGGTTCTCACTTACCAATGGTAAGTAGTGAGGATCACAAAGGGTGATCATGTGAATGTGGGACTTTGAACAGTCACTGAATGGGTGGCTGTTAAATGAGCACTGCCTTGTATACAAAATATTAAATATTAATTGAGTTGCAGATGGTAGATTGTTAAAAAGATAAATACTATCTTTTATATTAATGCAAGTAATGCAATTAATGCAACAAAACATTCCCTTGAAAAATAACTGGGCCAATCATTACATTCTAAATGCTTTCCACTAGTATTCAATAGCATATTTTGCTAACCTTGTTATCATCTGAGAAGGATGAAAGAGTTTCATTCAATCGGACACTCTCAAATTCTTGATTGCTGGCATAAATTCGAAAGACCTTAAACTGAGAAGATGGAACTCCAACAAACGGCTCCAAGAGTTGTTTGAAGGCAGAGAGTGTAATTCTTTTATCAACATGAATCAACAACCCTAAACCAAGAAAAAAATTAGAAAAACAAACTCAGTTTTTATGCCACATATATAATCACCCATACCATTTCATCTGTGTAATTAATAGATACACGTATTCCTTTTTCTTGTTTTCAAGTTATAAGACTTCAAGTGATCAGAGACATTTATCATATCCATTAACACTGTGTAACTTCACATATAAGGAAATTGTACAGCAGATGATTGGGGCATGTGTGAGATTATAAATAATAATTTACTAAGCTATATTACTTAATATTTTTAAAAGAAGGTCCATCTAAGAAAAAGTATCTTTTAAAAGTACGCATTACAGTTAAACTGCATCTTAAAACTGCCTTCTTTTTAACATTTATACTCAATGCTGTTATAAAGTGTTATGTTTAGCAACTGCACATGGTGTGTTACAGATGCACAATGGATTTGTTAACAATTTATTGGCAAAAACCTATCTTCTCCCACAACAAATATATTGCCAAAGAGTTAATTTGTCTCACAACAAATATATTGCCAAAGAGTTAATTTGTCTTAACGGTTATTAATTTATACTTTGCATTTCATTTAGTTCCCCAAAGTGATATTTACAGAAGTGCCTCCTACATTTTTTACAACTTCCTCTATTTATTAAAAAAATGACTGAACTTAGAAACAGCTTCCTTCTGGTAATATTCCCCAATGTTTTTCTAATCAATAGAGGAAGTCATAAATGAAAGCCTCAATATCAGAGCATTCTCTGCTGATGAAGGAAAATGATGCAGCTTTTCTTTTTCTTGCATTTAACTTGATTCTATTCCGATTCCTTAAATGTATGTGTGTGTCTATATAGGTAGTTTTAAACTTATGGCCATTAGTTTAACAACGGTTAAACTATACACCAAACATACGTTACGATGGTGCGGAAAAAAGTGACTTACATCTGTAACTTACATCCTGTCCTTGAAGTTATGACCATCACACCATCTTGACGGTCATATGATCACAACTTGGGTGTTTGGCAACCAGCTCACATGTACAACATTTGCAGCACCCTGTGATCATGATCCGTGACCTTCCCAGTCACCTTCCAACAAGTAAACCCAGTGGGGGAAGCAGGATTTGCTTACTGACTGCATGATTCACTTAATAAACAAATTATTCACTTAACATCCACATTATTTAATTAATAACTGCATCACTTAACAACTTAAATTCCAGTCCCAGTTGTGGTGGTAAATTGAGGAGTACCTACACCTAGGCATCTAGAACCATCTTTCATTTTATGCAAACAAACAGCAAGCCTGCTTATATAAACCTATTTTGCGGGAATGTATACAACATATATAAATATAAATAAACAAGCAATCTACATTTCTAGAAAAATACCTTGCACATTACCATATTTCATACATACATTTCTGCCCCTCTCCTGAACCTTCCTCTGCGATGTAGGGCTCTGCCTTGAAGTACATAAACTGTGCTTCTGCCCTGCTTTTCCCACTTTCATCATATTCACTGTCGGTTCCAGAATCCTCTTCAGCCGTATCCCATGTTTCCTTTTTCCCTTCATTGGCTTTGGATCGCCTGCTGCTCGTTATGCTGTGTGAATCAAGTCCATTCGCCAAGGTTACAGCGGCATTATCGACATTGCATAATGTGTCACTGCTGTGGCTGGAACTAAGAATATCACTGTCCACTGAGCTTGTGCTCCTGTCATTGTTTAAATCGGAATCTGACCGCTCTTCTGACTGAAAATTTTCTGTATCAGAAACCTGAATTTGGTTTTCGAGTTCCTGGTTTTCTGTTGATGCTGATGAATCTGCCTCATTGGAAGGCGATTCGATATTTTCAAAGTCACTGGCCTCTGTGCTCCTGCTGCTGTCACCATTATCTCCTTCCTGCTGCTGCTGCTGTAAGGACAAGGTTTTAAGTTTTTCAGTGCTCTCTTCTAGGATAGCTTCTACAGATTTTGTATTAAGTAAAGATCCTTTCCCTGCTTCACAAATTGCATCTAAATTGCCTGAATCTCCACTCGCCTTTTGAAATATTGTCCTTCTGAACACTGATCCAGGAGACTGTTCTGGTAATGAAACATACAGTCTGATTGTATTTGCGTGGCGGTCTAGGAGTTTCCATAACAGAGAATCTGTAAATGGCAGCTGTCTATCTTGAGAATCTGAACTTTCAATGAATACCTAAAATGTAAAACAGAGTAAATCCACAAGGAAAAATCTTAAGCACATAAACACAGAAAAATGTGACATCTGTAAATCAATAAATTCCTATTGAACAAATAAATTATATTAACTCTATTGTCTCTGACTTATAGTAAACTTTGAAAGAAAAACTAGAAGAAAAAATATCTTACTTTATTGCTCCTAAAAAAGCCTTCAGCTTTAAGCGTTTTGTTGGCCACACCGAGAAGACGCAAATCATTATAGCAACGTTCCAAAACAACACGCATTGTTTCAGCAGGTAAATGTACAGCCTGCGGTAACAGGAAAAGCAAGATAAAATGAATGCTTTTAATACACTAAAGAGAGAGAGAGAAAAAGAATAAGGTGCAAATTATTTACCTTTGAAATGAGATACTTGAATTCTGTAACTGTCTGGTTCAAATAAGCACGGACACTAATTGGAGGAGCCACTGTGTCCTGTTTTAGGTCGACAACATGAACCTTTACCATGACTTCTGCCAAAATAATAAATATAACTCATGAAGAAGATATAACAAACAGCAAAAAAGGATTAAAAAGAATACTTGCCTCATAAATACTCAATTTAAAGATAATATACTTACTATAAGATACATGCTATAAGGTATAATGATTATCAAAAGTAATTTTCTTGTGCGTTCATAAAATCACAATTTTATAAAGTGTCACTTACCACCAGGTTTGTAACATTGGAAAGACTGATCAGATTGCCTGGTTTCCAGAAGAAGATCAAACATGTATGTTGATTTAACACCACCAAGCAAGATTCCCATTGCAGTGTCATCTTCTTCTTCATAGGATCGTTCCAGATAATCATGGAACTCATCATATTTAACAAGACGACAGCAATTCAAAGGAACTGCCTCTTCTAAATCCATTATCTATAACCCATAGAAAAGTGAAAAACAGTGTTATTGAAATGCTGTTCAGTCAAAACTGAAGAAAAACATTCTAATTTCAAGTTCTCCAGACATGTCATGTTTGTTAACAAAAATAAAAAGTCTAAGAACTACATGCCCACTAATCTAAAAATAATACCAATATTATGTTTATTATCCATTAATGTATGACCTGGCAAAATTCTTTGGCACGATTGCCACAAATGTAATAATGTTGTTATATTTGTATCCCCCTTTCCCTCTAGGAGTCCAAATACTAATCCAATACCTTAATTACTACATCACAATGGGTTTGTTATGGCTTTCAATTAATAAAGAATACCAACAATAGCTACAATAAGATTAAATACTGAAAAATATTTATTTAATGATTTTTATAACTGCCCTATACTTGGCTCATGACTCAAATAACCAATATCATTCTATTATTGTCCAATGCAAACAAAAAGGCAACAATAAGCAGAAAAATGGCATCAAAGGAACCCCATGTATACACTGAGGTTTCATGTAGCCCTTGAGATCTTGAACAATTTAGCAATTACCGTGTAAAGTATTGTACCTTATAAGCCATCTCCACAGCTTCCTTCAGAGTCTTATCTTTATGAACTTCCAGTTTATTTTCCATCATTATTTGTTTTACAGGATGCATACAGAATAATTTTATCTGTAATTGCCATTGACAGAAAAATTATCAAACTGATTTTTCAATGTACTTGATAGTTCTAATTTAATAAAAGAATTACAATGTTCTGTGCATGAACACTTTTGGTAGAAAAGAGATATTCAACAATTAAAAGAAAAAAATCTGGAAAACAATTATCTTATATGCTTTTACATTTCAAAGATTCTTTCAAAAACAACAAATTATATCTAATATTATATCAATGAACATATGATTCTGTTCAAAAGGTGTCATGAAGAAATGAAACACAGTATTAGATTAGCAAAATTCCAAGACTATGTATTAAGTTAGTTTACCTAGGTTCTAAAAGTATGTATTTTCAAAATTTCAAAACTACATCAAGAACATAAACCAAGTGTAAAGAAAAAATATTTTTAAATTCATATCAAATGAAATATGATATGAAAGAATACATATTGGCTTGCTGTGTTATATCAATGCAGCATATAATCAGAACCGGACTAATGCTGAAAGTCAGAAACTTAATATTCTCCACCCAGTTTAGAATAAACCTTGTTTCATAAACAGTTTTCTCCAGCTTGCTCTCCCTTCAAGCTAGGTTTTCAACTTAGTTTGCTAGAAACCTTAAATCAAACTTTCTTCATTTGAATGTCATGTAAAAGTCCAGATTACAAAGCCAAGGTTGGAAGCATAAGGGTAGGAAAATATACAAGTATCTAACTTGATCCTGGCTGCTGTTTTATCAGGCTTAGATCATTCAGACTTAACTGATCCATTATCAAACAGAGGGTTAAAATTTCGATCAATTTCTATTAACAATGGATACCTAGAAACTAACAACCTGGGAATAATTTGTAGGCACTGTGCCAAGTAAGAATATGTAAATGATTCTGATACATTTATCAATATGTACAAAATCATCTGTTCATCTTGTTCTAAGCAAACATTTGAGGTGGAATGTGCCAAAACATACCTTGCAAGTATTGCGTTCTATTTCACGCTGCCTCTTTTCTTGTTCTTCCAGTTCCTTTTCTTTTTCTACTAATCGTTTAATATGCTCTGGATATTCATTGACCTCTAGGAACTCTATCAATGCGATAAGAATGTGAGCTTTTTAAAAAAAAAATACTTGGTTTTGCGGTATTTTGTTATTTTGTAACCTAATCTTACTTTAAATTACATATACAACTTTATGTATACTCCTTAAGGCAGGAGTCCACTTCTGTGCTATGGCCTATTGAGAAATGGGCTGCTGAAGCAGCGGGCGAGCATGCAAAACTTCATTTGTGAATGTGCAGCATTTAAGTTGCATGAGTGAAACTATTCCCCCTCTGCTGCCCGCTACCACTAGTCTGTGAAACCAAAAAATTTGGGGACCCCCTGCCTTAAGGAATGCTGTCTAGGAACATTTGTGAAATGGACCCACTGCTAAAATGGACCCATTTATTCCCTTTTACACACACACACACACACACACACACACACACACACTTTATGTATAGTCTATATAATATGCATTTTCATGCATATTAAACTACTTATCTGTAGAAATATGCACTGCACATATCAAACAATAAAATCTTTAGCTTAGTGCAAGAGATTTAGTAAATAAAGCACTGCTTTACTCTTTCTTCAAAAACAGGTAATCTGAACTAAAATACACTTCCAACAGTTATTTAACCAGCATTCCAAATCCATGTTCATAAAAATTATTTCCTGCAGCATACTATCAAATTCAGAGAAAAAAATCTATACGTCTTCTCATTAATTTGGATTAATATTTCTCCTCTCATGAATTGGAGAAAAGAAAAGCAATCTAGCTAGATTTTATAGAAGCGAGGTGATTCAATCACAACAGAAATATCATTAAAACCATAATCAACCTGTCGAATAATGGAATGTGTACTTACTTGCATTTCTAGTTGTATCCTTTAATCTATATATAAGCATATATGCATTTGTCGAGCTATTGGAGTGATATAAAAAAAAATTATATCTTGCATGTTAAAATACATGTGAGTTTAACAGCCCCCCAAAAAATGTATAATTACATCTTAGTAAAAGTAATGATATGCATTCAACCTTTATAATCAAAGGATCAAACAACACACTATTCAAAACCAGAAGCATTTCTATAGACCTCAAAGAATAAGTGTTAAAGGTACAAGACTCCTCTGCTTCAAATGAGCTACATCCCATTTGTCAAGGCAGAAGATCTGGAGCCTCACTTTTCACAGAACGATAAAAATGCAGCTGCCATTTCAAAAGTGCCAAATAATCAAGGATAATGCTGGAAATGAAAACAGAAGCGCACTTATAGGTGCTACACCAGGCAGCTTATAAATGCAGCTGGTCTGGTCTTGGCCACAATATATACATGCTTCTTAAGGCTGACTTCCTGAGATAGAGCATCGCCCATGGGTTGGTATAGCTGGAGCTCTTCCAACTGCCATTCTGGTCACAGCTGCCAGGGCGATACCTGCTTTTCTCAAAGCCTGTCAATCTGCTCTAGGTCTTCAGAATGGAAGCTCCCCAACCTTGTGCTATGGACTGAACGTTGCTTTCAACATGTTGAGATACTTTCTATTCCTCATTTTGAACAAAAGTCAAGGTATTTATGGATTTTATGTTGCTGGTCTTTAAATGGCTATAAATATGGTTTTAAAGATTTATGTATTTGCATTGTAAACAAGCCAGAATCATTTGTGAATGTGTGACATATAAGTCGACTAATTATTTACTAAAACAAATAACTGTATTAATCCATTAAAAGGGTGAAGTTAATCAGCTGCAAAAGTACAAAATGCTACCTTGCAAAAGCACTGGAGTAGTAGCCACGGCTTCCAGATGTTCCACCATAAGTTTTCTTAATGTCTTCATGAGTTATCTAATTGGAAAATTAAGGTGATACACATTTAATGTAATTAAATGCATTGCATATTTAATATATAATATTCCAGGAAACATAACCAAGTCCTTCATGGAAGTCTTATTTATCTGTGCACTACCGTGTTTTCCTGAGGCAGGTGGGGGAGAGGGTGGAGCTTCCCCACACGCCCTGCACCCGCTTAGCTGTAGTTCAGGCCCCCCCTGCCAGGCCATTCCTTGATCGGCGACCTTTCACCCCGCTTCTGAGCCGGACTGCCATGCTACAGCAGATGGGATGGGCGGGGTAGGACCGGTCCCCCTCTGCCATTTTGGAGCCAGGGGGAAGTGATGGCGAACGGCTCCACTGCCGCTGTGCATCGCTGGAGGGGCTTTCTTTAAGCTTCGCCCAGCAGATCACCTGCCCGGGCACAGCCACCACTAACCCTTTGCCGCCTGTCTCATGGAGAACGCAGGGATGCAGAGCAGAGAACAGCACTTGCTTGCTGCCTGCATTGCCCCGCGTCTCCCTTCTCCCTTCTGGAAACAGCAGCCCCGTTTTCTGCTGCTCGTCCTCCCGGTGCAGCTCCTCCCTCTTTCTGAAAGCATTTCTTCTGCGGCCTCCTGCTGCGAGCGGCCACAGAAGTGGACCGGCAGCCACGGGCTGCTGGACAGGGTTGTTGGTGCCACCGCTGCGAGGCAGGTGTCACGAAAAATATAAGGCACCCCCAAAATTAAGACCTAATGCCTCTTTTGGAGGCATAAATAAGACAGGGTCTTACTTTCGGGGAAACATGGTAATAACTTGAAGAATCATATTCCCTTTTCCCTGTCCTTTCCTTCAGCAGATAATTAACATGTTTTGTTCTCAATCTGCCTTCTTATTTTTTTCCCCTTCCTAATGATGTCCTTAGCTTGTGTAAATCTTGAGGTTTTTTTAACGATGCTAAAGCCTGGAGAAACCATGCAGTGACTGTTACAAATATATGTCTTTACCCCCAGCAAATAAAGAAAACATTAGGAAGAAATACAATCTGGCTCTAAACTCCCTGGAGTATAAGAAGGAGGAAAAGAACATCTAGTCAGGGTTTCAAGATTCTGTTATTACAGCCTATCTCAATAAAAACCAACTTTCAGCCATTGTCAAGGAATCTGTTTCCTGACCTGGCCTACTTTGAAGAGCTGAGATGCTGATGTCACTTTTTAAATCTGCATGCAATTTAAATTTAAATCTATATGCTGTTTTGTTTCATTAAAGGCATTCAGGATCTTTGTTGAGATCACTATAATAACTTACCTTGCTAACATGTTGATCATTGAAACTGTACCACTGATCATCACTAAAGGATTTTATGCATGCATAATAGTGACCGCCAGCTGCACTTCCCGAATGAACCATAACAGAAAACAATTCATATAGTAATGAATTCTGTATGATAGAGAAAATAGCAAATACAGATTGGTCAGAAAATATTTGTATCACTGTTTGGGTTATTTAATTTTTTAAAAAGTCTTTAAAAAGTATTTTATTTTTCATGCTATTCACATCTCATGTCCTTTGTTTCGTACTTAAAACCTCTAATGTTAATACTAACATTTAAAATGACACTCTTGTTCCTTGTCCCATTAATATGAGAACATATTCAATGCAGTCACATTTTGTGAGATATCTAGCTTCTCTGACAAGAAACAAAACAAATCTGAACATTTATAAGAATATTGAAGTAATAACACATTTTATAAAAATTAAATATTAAATTTTCCCCCAAAATCACTCTAGTTCTAATATTTCCTGCTCATTTTATTACTTATATTATTACTTCTAATAATATCTGTTCATTTTTATTTCTTGCCATCTTATTTATATTTTAAGCATCTTGCTATGGTACTCTCACCAATAATATTCTGGCAACAGAATGTATTTCAGCAAGTTGGCTATGACCATAAAAGTCAACATTCCATATTATGCTTTTGTTTCTTCCCTTGCTGGGAATTGTTGGCTAATACTATTTTCCTTTTTCTGCAATAGGCAAAATAACTGCTGTTATTTTAGAAAATTTTCCTACAGATGAGATCAGCTATTGACATTCATTATTATAAAATCATGTAATTCATGTTCTCATTATTGGTAAAAATGTCTCTTGTAAGATATAGATAGATGATAGATAGACAGACAGACAGACAGACAGACAGACAGACAGACAGACAGACAGACAATTGACATTTCTATTACAGGTAGTCCTTGAGTTACGACCACAATTGAGCCCAACACTTATGTTGCTAAGTGAAATATTTGTTATAAGTGAGTTTGCCCCATTTTATGACTTTTCTTGCCACAGTTGTTAAGTGAATCATTGTATTTATTAAGTTAGTAATGCAGTTATTAATTGAATCTGTCTTCCCCATTGACTTTGCTTGTGAGAAGGTCACAAAAGCTGATCACATGACCCTGGGACACTGCAACCGTCATAAATATGAACCAGTTGCCAAGCATCTGAATTTTGATCATGTGACCATGCTGCAATGGTGGTTAAGTGTGAAATATAGTCATAAGTCACTTTTTTCAGTGCTGTTGTCATTTTGAACAGTCATTAAACGAATTGTTTATAAGTTGAGGACTACCTGTATATGGGAGTATAATATGGGATTAAAAGGCTAAAGACATACAAAATTTACCAAAATTGATATACTAAAACATATTTGTCTGTTGAGGGACATGGGGTTGTTCTGAATTTTAGTGGCCTCCCCTCAGGTTGTTTTGCAATTAACTGGAAAACCAGCTAACAGTGTACTATCAATTTACTGACAAATTTTCGTAAGGCAAACAATATTTTGTGTTACTTTGTACAATACATAATAATAATAATCCTAATAATGTAAATATGCAATAATTTCAATGCGCGTATTGAAATAGCATAAGATTATATAAGGTACCTTTTCACTAACAACTTTTGAAATTCTTTCAGCAGCACTATTGTTTTCAAGACATATTCCTTCATCAATGCCATCGTCATTAGAAAAGTCATTGCTCATCTGATCACTGTGACAACTGCCTTCATTCTCTGCTCCACTATCAGTGCAGCTCTCTGTTTGAGGAGACTTCTTAAAACAAGTCATAAGGATTAGTTTATAAACAATAAAGATTTGTACATCTTACAAAATAATTGAAATTGTAAAGCGGAGTCAACAGCGCATACCTGTGTACAACATGAGAATTAAATTCCTTTGTAAAAATATTCTACAGACTTTTTTTAGTTCAGCTATTGATGGATTCATATGTTCTCTCTTATTACACACAAATACCTAGAGATGAGCACATTTTACAAATGCACAACAGCAAGGAGGCATTTCAGGAAATATAAGGCCTGCATCTTCCCCCTATTGATTGGTTACCTTGCACTACTGCACATGTGTCTGTATGTATGCATAGCAGTCACAACCAAAATCTAGGTTTTACATTTAAAAAGTTTGAAAGGTGAAAGAAAAGACAATACACAGCAGCTGATCCTGATTCTCTGAATAAATTTCAAATTAACCTGATATGAAATAAGTTTATAATTTACAGTCAATTAAGCTATTTCGTAAAACATAATCCATATATATATTGATTATTACCTCATCTTCAATATCAATGAATGAGCCCATATCTAGCTCTTCCGGAAATGTCATACGGTCGTTAAGTTTTATTCTATGCATAGTGGTATAATCAAAATCGAATCTTTTTAACTGCAAGGTCAGCAAATAAGGAAAATGCAAGAATCGCAATCCCTGCAAGATACAAAGGGAAACCAATTGTCAATGATGAATTGCATTTCATATATGTTAATACAGCCACCTCATTATTTAGGTTAAAATGTGTTTACCTTTCTTGCATCACATTTCTTCTTGCATCGTTCACAGAAATACTGATTGGCACCATCAAGAATCTCAGGCTGAATGAAAGCATGTAGAGCTTCCTCCTAATCAGAAATTTTTAAAAGACCAGCTTTACACACTATGCAAAAACTTGACATCAAAGATTCTTGAATTTTATAACACATGTCCGTGAAGAAAAGTAGATAACAAGTTTCAACTTCTTTTATATTTTCCCTTCAGTAAGCAGCCAAATCATGACCCGTAAAACATTATTTATTAAATAACTGATGGTTCCAATGTTTAGATAGTGTAAATAATCTAAAGCAAAATCTGTTACCTTGCACATCACATTAAATCACAGTGGCATAGGCAAATCATCCGTCCATCAGTTCCATATCTCAGCCACTTGATTTAAAGCTGGCTTTATTTTATTGGGAACAAGTATACAGTATATTTTTAATTACTAAAATTATATCTACTCTAGGGAATATTTCCACATTAATCTGAAAACTTAACATTTAAGTGCTGAATGTATTTCTCTGTACAAGTTTCCTTAAACACATCTGGTTTCCTATAAGATATGACTTGAGAATATCTCTTGCTCTTACCAAAATAATTTGATTCATTTCTTATTTAAGTACTTTTCTATAAAATCCTACCCAACGTGAGACCAAGCTACATGCAGAGGTCTACTTACTAGCATGTCAATTATCCTGATGTCCCCTTTAGAACATCCATGCTATCTAACAAGACACAAGTGATGAAGCAAGGGAAGAAATATTCTATCAACTCAACTATACTATCTTCAGAAAACCAAGGACCTAATAATAGAACAAGACAAGATTATGGTTTCAGTTGATGTCACAGAACATTTTACAGACACAGAACTAGTGAAAAAAATCCATGGGAGCAGTACCACCCAACACACCCAACATTAAGATTGAAATAGCCAGGATCATGGACTTTGTCAACCCCTGCCTCATTACCTATTTTCAATCTGATGGACAAATATAGCCAACAAATCAGAGGAACACCAATGGAACCACCACTTACAGGACTCATAATAGAAACTGCAGCATCTAGAAATTATACCATTTCCAACAAAAATATGAATCCAATATGTAGACGGCATCTTTTCATAATAAAAAAGGACGAAGGGACACATGAAACAATCAACGGCATCTTCAAAGAAATAAAACTCACAAAAGAAGAAAACAATACACTACCTTTCTTAGATATCCTTATCAGCAGAGGAAATAATGGCAAATTAGAAACAGAAGTTTATAAAAAAAAACCATCTACACTAACCAAGTGCTCAAATATCAAAGTAACAACCCCAACCTTCCATAAGAGGAGCTGTGGGACAAGTACAAATGCACTGCAGCAACCTAGAATAATAGAAAAGGAAAAAGAGTGCCTATACAATATCTTCCAAGAAAATGGATACCCATGAAACTTTATCAGAGTCTGACCATTCAATCCACTACAACACAGCCAATACAAGCTATAAAAAGGATAATATTGCATACATCAAAAACATCTCAGAAATAACCAACAGACTATTTACAACCACATGGCATCATAACACACAAGCCAACTAAAGCCCTCCAAAACATCTTAAGTATATCAAAAGACTGTCACTATGTTGGACAGGCAGGTAGAAAACTAGCAGAGTATCCATGAACACCAACTAGCAATCAGACATGATGAAATCTCTTAATTTCACAACACATGACCAATTTATCCATAGTTTCCTAGACAAAGCTAAATCCAAAAAGACTAGGGGAATTCTGGGAAGCCTGGCATTCAGGCAAATCAGCCATCAATAAGCACATAAACAAGATAAACAAGTTCTGCATACCGTTCAAGGAAGACAAAAGCTAAAAAAATAAACAAAAAGATCAGAACACCTCCTTGCCAGCAATCAAACCCCAGATAAACAGGGATTAACAGCAGGATTAATATCAGGATTAATGCCAGACAAATAAGCAGTAAACAACAATCTAATCAAGGAACTACTAAGGAGAAAATAATATCCCCAACAACACTGAGAAGTCAAGGGTATATAAATAGGCAGCAAACCCCACTCCCTTCTAGCACTCCTCAAGAGAGCACCAATTGGACTTCACAGGATTATTCATATTTGTGTGTGTGTGTGTGTGTGTGTGTGTGTGTGTGTGTGAGAGAGAGAGAGAGAGAGAGAGAGAGAGATCTTATTTCCAGAAGTTTCTCTATAGAAAAGCTTACCTTTTTACACCAAAATATTCCTTTTGCTATTAGACCAATACTGCTTATCCTTACCACGTTTATAAAATATATGTTTGGAAGATTTTAATTCATGGCTTTTTTCAGCATTTTTGTATTAATTTGCTATCATTTTATTAGGAAAAATGTCTGAAAAATGGATGCTAAAGGATGTTATTAAAATATTTGAAAAATCTTTTAAATATGTAATTTACTATCTTGCAAAGCTGAAATGGGACTGGAATATTTTGAATACTTTGTAAAAAGCACTTAACAAAATGTCCATCTAGATTTCAATGCAATAACCCCTTTTTTCATCATAAATCTTTTCAATAATGAAAATAAATTCAAATAGTAATCAGTTATATCAAAGATACTAATGACTATGGTGAAGAAAGTTTAGCGTTGGTCTAAATTCAATTCCGAGATTCAAAACTATTAAGACACTGAACCAGACTACTGTGAAAGTTAAGAGGAAACCAGATTCACAACCTACTTAAAGTGAAAACAGACAAATTAGCCTGCTATCACTGTGTAATTCAAGGCAAATGTTATCTTTTTTTAAAAAAAATAAAATCCTGTGATTTAGTTTTTCTCATTACCAGTTGTTCTCTGGTGTCTAAATAAATAAAAGGGGGGCTTAGATGGTCAGAAGACTCACCAATTGCAAAATGACTGGGTGCACAGCTTATAAGATTACTATCTAAAGCATGTTGTTTGATGGATCCCACTTTGGGAGGAGATCAAGGATAGGGGAAGGTCTTCAAAAAGCCTCCAATTCATCCCTTCTCCCTCCATTTCTGAGAGCTCAGAGAAGCACTAAGAACAAACAAAACAAAAGATTTACAGCCCTCGCTTTTTCACATGGATAAGAATTCTGTCACTGCTGAAACAGAAGACACTTTTAAAAAAAGCTCCTAACTCCAACGGTGGAGCAGAGGTGGGATGGTGGTCATGAGGCTAAAGAAAAAAGTAACATGCTGCTATAATTTTCTAAGACTGCTCTTCAAAACAAAACAAAAAAATCTAGAAAATGCATACTTTATCTAAAAACCATGGAATAAAAAACACTTTTTGCAAAACAATGTTTTTATCAAAATGGGTTGCTGCTCAAAATTCTAGAAGGCATGTCAATTTGAAGTTTGACCCACATTATACACATTAAAAATCTAAAGCCAACATGCACATTTCTTACACATACTGTAGAAATTTTGATAGTAACTGTGACTTAAATATTTTTAGAGAAAATTTGCTAACTACAATTTTGAAGCTGTGCATACAATAACATTTCCTAGAAATATTTAGATAGATAAACAAAAGCTGTATCTCTTTAATTAAGAAGTAAATGACATATGAATGGCTGAAAAAATAGGCATGTGAAATTTATGTAAGCTCTGTGTAATGTGCAAGTCAACAAGGAACCATTCTGGGCTATATTTATATACAGACAAATAAAAGAAGTGATGGTCCTAAAGAACTTCTAAAACTAGATCAAAATTCATGAATGGTAATGCATTGTTTAATGGCTTTATTGCTTACCAAGGAGAAAATTATGCTTAAACCAAGTACTTTAATCTTTTAACAGATCACCTTTAAAAATATATATTTACATAGTTCTTAATAATCTTATATTTCATTCTGGTATTTTTTATTTCTAGAAGCTTTGTAATTTTATAATAGTGTAGTTTTTTAATTCTTTTAGTTTTATATTCTTAATTGTCCATGAAAATATCTCTATAAATGTACAGTCAGGACCAAGTATTTACTTCCTTAAATCAAGTGCAATCAGTCAGATCCACCTTGCTGTACTGCTCTCACCTACAGATCATATTAGTTGAAATTAGTCCCATTTCAAAACCAGTAGAATTAGTGGCAGATGTAATACCACTCAAATTTAATGGGAAACAATATTCAAATAACACCGATAATGATTTAATTACAAGAGCAAAATTAACATCTCTTTGAAATGCTTTAAACAACCATACTGTTAAAGTATAAAGCAAGCATTATGTAGAAACTAATCCTCATGTGTTCAACAAACTAAAGTTTACACATTTTGGCTTAACATTGTTATGAATCTTATCTTGTTATGTAAGATTTACCACTGCAATTTCATCTTAGTTCTACCATTTTTCTATTATATTCAAAGTGCCACTTCAAAAGTCTAGTCACTCTCCTTTTAGATTAGATCTAAATATGCTTAACATATTTGTGCACTTAGAGCAATTACAAATAGTTCTTGACTTAGAACCATTGTTTAAAGACTGTTCAAAGTTATGACAGTGCTGGAAAAAGTGAGTTACGACTAATTCTTCCACTTACAACCACCACAGCATCTCTGCAATTGTGTGATCAAAATTCAAGTGCTTGGCAATTGGCATGCATTTATGACAATTGCAGTTTCCCAAGTCACATGATCACTGTTTGTGATTGTCACAGGGGGTTTCCAAAAAATGGGGGAAGCCAGATTTACTTAACAATCATGTAATTCTCTTAAAAACCATGGCAAAAAAGATTGTAAAATTGAGCACGATTGTTTTAATGATTGCATTGCTTAGTGAAAGAAGTTCCGGTGGCGATTGTGATCATAAGTCAAGGACTATAATATTTTAAAATATTTACACAAATATATTTCCAAAACTGGAAAGTTGTTTGTAACCTTTATTCTAGGTAAATTTTTAGGCAAGTATTTAGATTGTTGTTTAGTACCTGTCAGATTAAATATATGGCTAACCTTAGTCATAGATCAACAACTCCTGTTGCCTATTCTGTAGCTGATTAATTCTTATTTGTGTGTAAAATGTAACCCTTTGGGCTAATTACTTTATGTAAGATGAAAACAAGATGTAATAAAATGATG